CGTCGCAGGGAAACAGGGATGCAGTCTCCTTACACCCCCTTCGCTGCCCTCTCCCACATGTCGGAGGGTTCGCGGTTACAATCCAGTTTAAATATGGTCGCGTCAAGGGGGAATGTCGCAGGGAGAAGGAGCAGAGCCACCCTCCGAGTGAAGGCAGGGCAGGGCAGGGCTCGGCTCTGCAGTACCCCAACAGCGCGGGCAGGGCAGGGCTCTGGCAGCGGCATCCACCCTCAATCCCAAGCAAGGTGAGCACCAGGCCCAAGAGTGATCCAGGAAATCCATTGGCAAAGGGAGATAGACACCAAGCAGATCCAGAGCTACCATGGCTGCTTAAAGGCACCATCCATAAGGTGGGGCTAGAGAAGTGTCTAGGAATAAGGTTATATGTGATAGAAGACAGTTCAGGGAATAAAGCCAGAGATAGAACTTGAAACAGGCACAGCCACAAAAGAGAATAGGGGGAGGGAGGAAAAAAACTCAGGCCTGCACTTACCTGGAGCTCCTTATATGAGCTCCTGGCCTATGAGCAGGGAAGGCCCAGGTGAGGATGGTCAGGCTGAATAAGGCCAATTAGCACAGCCAGGGCCCTGACAAGGAGGAGGTTTAATTCAGCTGCTATATAACACTGTGGCTTTAAATTAATTATCTCTTTTTCATTTTTTTTTCTCCTCTTTTGTCTGAGGTATGTGCTTCTAACTGTAGTGTTCTCTTTTGCTTGCTCTTATAATGGGGCTTTGAGGAAAGGGGGAGATGCTGCCTCTGCTCAAGAGAGGGCACTGCAGAACTTCTTAAGGGCTAAAGATGAAGGAAGGAAAAAAAAAGGCTTTGTTCTTGAAGTCCCAAGTTAGACCCATTTGAGTCAAAGAGGCAGTAACATGTGGGCACTATGGTGGTGCATGTAGGCAGGTGATACTTTGTTGAGCAGGTAGTGTGCCCAGCAAAATACAATTGTTAGTGCTGCCTGGGGAAAATGCTGCTTTTGCAGTGCTGGGAGAAAAAGCAATTGATGCAGTGGAAGACTTTCATGTGAGCTTCTGTCATCTTATAAAGCTGTTATTTGTAGTATAGAGAAGGAGTGGTCAGTTGAGTGCCTTTATAGGATCTTAATATGTGCCAAAAAAGTAGTCAAAATCTCACAGTACTCAGGAGTGAAGAAAAGGGCTTTCCTATTTTACATGCACATGGCAGTGACAGGGGGTGTCTCTGCCCTGAGAGTCATCAATAGCATGAAGCCATTCCTATGATCCCACCCAAAATAAGTTAAAGTGCCCATCGTATCAGTGCACTGCATTTTTAAGCAGTAGTTCCAGTGATTCAGACAGATTTTGAGGTCTGCTCTCAGCTGTGTCTGCTGCAGTGACTGAGAAGAGAGCCCTTCTCACCAGGCATGTTGCTTAGTGAGAGGGGTTCTTTTTGTGTCCACAAAACAAGTCTAGGTAAAGTTTTCCTTAATATTAGAGGAGGAGGGCTTGCTTGGCTGCTTTAAATTTAAACTTATCTCTGCTTGAGACAACTTATCTCTGCTTGAGACAACACAAAGTCCTTGAGGATGGAAGCTGAATAACAGTGAAAACTTGTGCTTTGCTTTATTACTGTTTAGATCAAGCCAGTTAAGTCTGAGCTAATAAGTGGTGTCTATTCTAAAATTGTGTCTGAGGGTCAAAGCTCTGTATTAGCAAATTCTCACAGTAAAAATCTTGCCCAGCTTGAGGAGTGTGTGCAGAAGGAAGGCTATGAGCAGAAAACAAACCTTGCTGTGTGACTAATAATGCTGTTTATTTTCTGATAAATCAATAGCAAAGAGGGTTGGTGTCTTCCTGTTAGGAAGGGAGAGTGATTTGGTTCACAGGTGAAAGGAGCCTTTGGCATCTGATTCCCAAAGCACAGGTAGTCAGTGATGCTCCGGGCTGCCTGGCTGGGAAGGTGCTGGGCTTGGCTGGAGTCTTAGACTCTGTCCTAGCCCTTTCTCTCCTCCCCATGCCCCCAGATGCTGCCCTTGACCTTGGAGTCTGGCCCCATCTTCCCCTTCTCACCTGAAGCCGCTGGACTCATCAAGTCCTGTGCAGTAGACAAGCACATGGTGATTGACTTCCTTGTAGAAGCAGGAACAATGCAGAGCACTGATAGGTATTTTCCTGTCAAATGTCGCTTGAGTCACTGTACCCATGGAAATGTGGGTTAGGCAAGACAGAAGTCTCAGAAATATCTTTAAACATAAGGATTTGTTTCCCTTTAAGTCCAGGGCACTATCTCAACTCCTACCCTGCAAGGTAGGTGGAGGGCTAGCACTGTTAGTGATATCAGAGGTGATAATTCCACAACGGAAGGACAAGAACTGATGGCTTGAAGCTCACAATGTTCCTTTCTGCCCTCCGTGGGTACCAGCCCCCAGTACAGATACCATCTGGCCTGCCACGGCCATGACTTCCCTTGTTCTTGCACTGTGCCAGAGAACTGGAACTGGCCTCCTTGCCCAGAAGGAAGGATGGATGATGCAGATCATACAGTTTTCTAATAATCAGGGAACTCAGCAAGGCTTAGAGGTTCTCTGTAAATTGGTAGGTTGTTTTTTTGCAGTGAAGAAGAAATTCCATGCAGTAGCATGCATACTGTGTATGCAGTTTAAATTTGTGCAAGAGAGCTGAGACCCAGAGTTGCAGGGAGAGAGATGACCTCAGCTCTTCAATAGCAGGGCAATAGGACATTTCTGATGCTTTTTTGGTAATCCATGAGAACTTTAGATTCCCCCTTTAGCATGCAAAGCACCCAGCTTGTCATCTGTTTTTCAGATTGCTGTAAAGGTTGTAGAAACCTTGCATTGACAGGTATTTTACTTAAGTTCCTGGAAGACGGGGAGGGGCAGGGCACTTTAATTTCTCTTTAACATCTAAGGAAATTTAAAGGCATTTCCTATGGGCTTTGTATTGATAAATGGCTAACACCAGTGCTTGTGGATAAGTTCTTAGTGAGAACCTAGGTTCTCAGTGAGCAAGAAACAGGCATCAGCTAGTCTTCTGCCTTAAACTGCAACGTTTTAAAGATTACATATATTTATATATATATGTGTGTGTGTATATATATATATAAACTCCTTCCCAGGAGTGAAACCTACTTTCAGTAGGTTGAGGTGCTGTGCAAAGAAGAGGTATGATTTTGTTTTCAACTTTTTTTTCCCCTCTGGAATTTGAAAGATAAAGTCATGGAGCTTTACAAGAGCAAATAATGTGGAAAAATCATTATAAAATCATAAATGTGACTGTTCACTTTTGTTTTCCTACATGCAAGTATAACTTCATAACACTCAAAGAATTTGGCTAGGGACTTGGCCTGACTGAACCTTTCTTATGCGTAAATCCAAATAAGATTCTGTATTGCATATCTTTCCTTCAGCCAGATGTTCTTCATTCTACCTATTGCTTCTGGAGGATTCGTTCTTAGAAAGTCCTTGCTTCTTTTCTGCCTATCTAAAGTTTCCTATAAGGCTGTATCACTAGGAAATAGTATTTTTCCTGAATATATATACATGTGTATATATATATATATATTACTATGGGAACAAATGTTTTTGGAAGACAGGCAGTGGCCATAGTTTGTAAGTTTGCAGCAGGCTCTGGATAAAGGAATGTTTGGAGACAGGATTGTAGCTTCATTTTTTATATAAAACAACTTATTTTCCCCAAGGAAAAAAGTAAAACTCTTTGGTAATAGATTGATTAGTCTGAATTCCAGTACTTCTTTGAGATTAAGTGTCAGGCTGGCTTTAGGCGCACATCTCTTAAAAGAACTTGCTAAGGAAGTACCATGCTATCTTAGGCTTTATGTGGTCTGAACTTTGGGTCAGAGACTTTCCTTCAGAGAAGGACAGGTTAAAGATAACACCTGGACCAGTGTTGCAGGGTGGTGTCTGCCAACCACCGCAGTGGATAACAAAAGTTTTGGGGAACTGGGACTTGTAGAGTGAGGTGGGGAAAACAAGGGGCAGCCAGACCCAGGCAAACATCTAATTGGAGAAGTGTTCGAGGAAGCTGCGTGCTTGCATAATGCTGCAGCAGAAATCACAGAGCGGTT